AAATGTAAAAAATGTTATTTAAAAAATATTCAAAATTGTTTTTATTACAGTTTTTATAACAAGAGGTCCATTGAAGAAAAAAGCGGAACCATTTACTGCATAAATTTCATCATATGTCATCTAATACTAATAATTTTAACCTAAAGGGCACCTTTTTTTTACCCCTTTTAAAAGATTTTACCTCTTCTGCAAAATTTAGTTTTCTTTTAATAAATTTTTTTAAAGTCTTTTGTGTCTTAAGAATGTGTCTGTAAAGTTTCAGCGGGAGACCTAGATAGCCTATACCTATACCTTTCATACCATTCAAATTTTCTGCTTTGAAATCAAAATAGCTGTTTTTTGGCCCAAAGTTCCCACGTGCCTGTCAGAGTGTGCCTTAATCTCTGCCTCAGCTGCGTCAGATAAACAGCACAGTGACAGACATGAAGGATGCAGATCTTGTGTAGCGTTTGTGAGAAATAGGCATGGTGACAGAAAACATATCAAATCCACCTTGTGTGGTGTTTTAAAACAGAAAAATGTTTAGACCAAATAAATATTGCTAGTTGAAACTGTGCTTTTTGCTAGATGCTTTACCTAGACGCGCTTTACCTGAATAAAACTAGCTGCCCGAGCTGTGATACAAACAAAATCTTATTGGTTATTTTAAAAAAAGTAGAGGAGCTAATTGAATGTTCTACCATGTCTTCGTGCTTTAGTTTAAATTATTGCATACAGTGAATAAAGCTGCACATTTCATGGCACTTCAGGGGACTTTTAACAGCCTTTTACACAACGTTTTTAGCCCAGTAAACCTTTCATATGTTTTGCCAATTCATTTACACTGAAGACGCATAAGTCTGATAATGGGTTACAAAGTGGAAGTTTTTGAAAACCCAGCTGTTGACGTGTAAACACCCGAAACAAGTTTTTGAAAATGATGATGCGTGCATATGGTACGTGTTTAGAGGAGAGTAGATTAAAGGCAAGTGTGAAACAACAATGAAAGAATACATGGTAGTGTTTGTTAAAGCTTCACATTCACTTCACTTTACACCCGTCATGAGAGGTACATTATTTTACAAATGTTTCACACAAACCAGCAGAGACATACTGGTGGCATGTCATCACTTCCTTACAGAGATTATTTACTAACAAAGTAGTAGCATTACATACTGACCTGGCATAGGAAATACAGGGATTTTTGTTTACGTATTTGTGTAAATGGAGATCTTTTTGAAAATGTTATAGTATAAAAAATGTTTTTAATTCAAGGAAAAAAATTTTGTTTTGGCTAAATTGTTGATATGGAAACGTAGCCTCAGACTCCATCCAGGGGTCACAGATGCTTACAGTATGTCTTTTCACATTAAACAAGCACTTGGCAGTGCAATGAAGTAGGGGTGCAAAAATGGGGTTTAAAGTATATATAGTGCATAAGGGGGGCTTTTGCATGTGGGGGCATGTAGGGAGCTATTTTTAAAATCTTCTTTATTAAAAGTTTCAGTTACACTTTATATTGAGTGTCCTAAACTATGATGTACTTGCATCAAAAATAAATACAATGTACTTACTGTGTTCTTGATGTATTTAAAAACACTTGTGGTGCCCATGAGTTGGGATCTGGGTAGTGTTATAGACAGTTGAGGCGATATGAGTAGGTTGACAAATATTTAGTCAAGCATAAGTACAATGTAAAGTAAATAATATTTGACTACATATTGTTTCAAGACACTTCTATACAGCGACATTTAAAGGCTTAACTAGGTTAATTAGGTGAAAAAAAATATATAGCTTAAAGGGGATAATAATTTTGACCTTAAAATGTTTAAAAAAAAAATTAAAACTGATTTTAATCTAGCTGAAATAAAACAAATAAGATTCTCTCCATGAAAAAATATGAACAGACATAGTGAGAAAATTCCCTTGCTCTGTTAGAAATCATTTAGGAATTATTTAAAAAAGAATAAAAAATTCAAAGGGGAGCTAATAATTCTGACTTCAACTGTAGAGCAAAACAAATAAACATATAGTGAGCTATAAGGTATTTTTAGGTACAAACCTCTGAACAACATCCTTTATGACAGTGCTGTGAGCTGGTTATTGATTTGTGTCATTTCTAGAGTTTGAAAAGCAACACAAACAGCTCAAATCTTTTTTGAACAAATAATTGGGTTATTTACAGGTGTGGCAACCATATTTACCGAAAATGTGTCTAAACAAACTGATTAACAAGTTGTTAACAAGTATTTAGAAGCACATCGGTGATGTGTCTCTGTTCTTCAGATGTGAAACCAGCAAAACAAACCAATGTCTTGACAATTGTTTCCTAAGTCTTTTGTATTTTTATGGGTTTAGCAGTCTGGAGGTTAATAATAATAATAATAATACTTTGAGTACAAGTATCTAATAACAGTTGAGCAAATGCATGATTTTATCCATGTTTCTTGCTTAAAGAAACAAAATGCTGGGTTCCACAAAATTCCTTCTTGTTATCCCAACACGAATCTATTAAGTTAACTTAATTAATTTTACAAATTTAGGTGGATTGAACGTAAAACAATTCAGTTATCCCACATAAAAATTCAGCTCATTTAAAATGTGCTAAAATAAATAAAATAAAGCAGCAACAATAATTTTTGAGTGAATTATCAATCATAATCATAAACAAATCTCAAGAGTAAATCCTGTACATACAATGTATTATAGAGTAGGATAGAACACTTGACGTGTTGTTGTTGTTGGTGTTATTATTATTATTATTATGTTTTTCATTATTGTTCATTACCTAGTGTTAATTTGCTGTCAAGCAAAAATGCCACTAAAATAGTTTAGGTTTATGCATCCACATGCCGACTAATTCTTACTATAGATTTTAAGTAGACTGTTAGGTTGGATTTAGGGTTAGTGTAAGTTGACGTGTTCTTGCTAAGTTTCTTCTAGTCAGTTAAATATCTGTTTAGCAGCAGTATCAACAGATATTAAGCAGACAGTCTACTAATACTCAAATGGACCATCAAAATAAAGTGTTACATCAAATTGTACCAATAATAATGATTAAATAAATTTATAATTTATGAACTTCTCTTTAGAATGCCTTGTGGGACTATTATGGTGAATTTTCCCCCACATAGTTCACCCATGAATTTCTGTCATATGTGAAAATATGGAATCTATGCATGTCAGTAGCTTTGTTTCCATTCAAAAATGCTAATTAAATTCATGCGCAAATCTGGAATATCACATAAAGACGTGCAAATAAAGCAGCGTTTCCATCCAGCGAGTCAAAGAGGACAAAATCGTCACTTCCTGATTAACTGGGACAAACATCAGCAGTAAAAACGAAACATATTTTAGTAAGAGTAGCTGAGTGAATCAGAAGACAATGCCAAACACATAATGAGTTTAAAGCCGTGAGATATGGGGCAAAGTCGCTCTTGACAGTTCTGGAGATAATAAATAGAATAAAAACACTGAACTGATGCTGAATAGGTCAAGGAATGAACAAAACAACATTTCAGATTTTTTAAAATGTGCTTAGCTAGCTGGTTTGTCAATTCACACACATTTATCATCACATAATTTCTTATAACAAAATCACATGACCTTTTTTAATGTGCATACTGGAATTTGTTCAGTAAAAGTGTTTCCATCGTAGTTTAGGAGCATCTTTTCTTTTTGAACAAAAAAGTTTATCCTATTCAGTTATGCACATACTTTTTTATGCACATTTCCAAAACTTAAGCGTGGTTTATACCTCTGTGTCGAGTGATCGGCATGACCCATGCCGCATGCCTTGCGCGTTGCTGTGCATTTATACTTCAGCATGCTGTTTGTGTTGCTCTGACAGTAAAACTTCCAAAACGCTAGTTAGCAGTTTCATGTCCCTCTGTGTCGAGTTTTTTCGTTGGTGTTTTATTTTTTTTAAATGCTGCCTTAATGTACAAGTGGCTTAAACGCACTCATTTTGACGTGGGAACTGGTGAATGTGCAACAACTTTAATCTTAAGGTAGACTCAAAACAAAACTTTCCACCTGGAGCTCCTTCATGGGACTCAACACTTGTAAGCACTCGCTTCATCGAGTTCGCTTGACTCTCAGTCCCGCCCACACTCATCAGCGCTACCAAACTGACCAATCACAGAGCTTACACTACACGTCGTTGCAACATCTCGTTACATTTTTCGAGAGGTGCCCGTTAGTGTCAGCATTAGTCACAGCGAGGTCTATGCGAATGCAAGAAGGCTGCACCAGAGCATTCATGTTCACTTGGCGCTGAAGTATAAATCAGCCTTTATGCTCATCTTGGCGTTTTCATCAACCAATTTATTATGCGCATGTGCAAAATGCACACATAAATAGGTGGACAGAAGCATAGCTATTGGTTAACATTCTTTAAAATGGCTTCTTTTGTGGTTCTTTACCAAAAAAAAAAAGAAACACACAACCACTGCAACCACTTGAGGGTGAATAAATAGTATATTTTTTATTCATTCATTTTCTTTTCGGCTTAGTCCCTTTAATAATCTGGGGTCGCCACAGCGGAATGAACCACCAACTTATCCAGCACATTTTTACACAGCGGATACCCTTCCAGCTGCAACCCATCTCTGGAAAACATCCACATACATACTAATTCACACTCATACACTATGGACAATTTAGCCAACCCAATTCACCTGTACCGCATGTCTTTGGACTGTGAGGGAAATCAGAGCACCCGGAGGAAACCCACACGAATGCAGGGAGAGTATATTTTCATTTTTAGATTAATTACCAGTTTAACACATAAAAAATAAATAAATAAAATAAAAAATCAGGAACATAAATTAAACTGAATTAGGTGATTCATTCCTGCATTTAAAAAAAGCCGGCGTCATTGGCAAAAGCTCTCGCTGTGTGTTTGTGTGTGTGAGACCATAGTGCAATACATCTGTTTCATACCCCTGACGTTGATGCAGAACGTCTGCTATGTATTTTTAGACCAAATGTCTCCATGGCTGATAAGTCATTTTACTTACCTCGTCCTTTTCCAACAGAACAAGACGCACAACAGCAATGTTGATGGCATTTCCGATGCTGGCATCTCGAAACAACCCAGCCACCTATAAAACACAGCATTTTCACATATGTAAATGCAATCTAGATTTGAAGCCATATTAAGCAGTATAACACTCTACTGCAGTAATGTATACATTCTGGAGGAGAACTTCATTAAAAACAGCCATAATTGGTAGTTTATTTATTTATAATCACAGATCCTTAAAGGGCGCTTTGATGAAAGGTCGAATGCAGAGAAGAAAAAAACAAAGGTCATAGAAACACTTCAAGAGCACTTCATATTGACTGATGCGCCGATATTGACTTAAGAAGTTTAGCACGAAACAGATTTTCTGTTGCTGAGGTACTTAGATGTTCTGCTCTCGTATCAAAACTCTCCTTGAGGTAAACGTGGTTTGAAATATATGATTAAAGATTTTCTGCTTCTGTGGTGCTTGTTACAAAATGTTCCAGTGAATTAATGAGGCATCTTTGATGAGGTCTTTTTGAGGTGGTGCAACTTCTGCCGACATTAATCTGACCTTTGATGAATCTGCGGAACACTCAAAGCCTGGTTCACTTGATCAGAAAACCTTGATTTATCAGGTTGCTCAAACTCGTTGGTCATCAAGCCAGCATGGAATGTATTGGTGAATATATTTATCGAGGTTAGAAATGTTGCTACAACCACAAACGCCTAGGGCTGGGGTAAAGAAATAAACTTATCATTAATTAATCATGAATGTCTGTTCATGGATTGGTAAATAACTATAAATATGCATTTTTAGCTTGTAGGCCTACACACAAACACTGTTTTTTAACCATTCTATATTTTGTCTGCTTGGCTGTCAATTATTCCACTGTAAAAAATGCTTTTCTTGCTTAGACTTTGTGTCTTGTTTCTAGTCCAAATATCTAAAATTTCTAATATTAAGAAGCATTTTCTAGACAAGCAAAACATATTTTCTTGTTTGGAGAAATAATATGCCGATATTGGGTGAATTTTCCTTAAAACAAGCAAAATAATCTGCCAATGGGGTAAGCAAATTAATCTTGTTTTTTTCTTTTGACAAAAGATTAATTTCACAGACTTGGGGGTCCAATAGCCACCGATAAAAAGTATTACTTATTAATTAAATAATGTAGATGCAATTTGTGTATATTGATTATGAAATTTCTTCAAATACAAAAAATATATATAGTTAAAAACTCCTTGCTCTGTTAAACATCATTTGTGAAACATAAACAAAAGGGGGAAAAAAATCATAGGAGGGCTAATAATACTGACTTCAATTAGATGCTTTGTATCATTTTGTGGCTGCATCCTCTGAAGAGTGCACTTGAAGGTACCTGCGTCATGTAATTTCAAAAAGATTTGAAGGCTTCTTCAAATGCAGCCTCCAAATGTGTCCTTCATTTCCCAAGTAATGACAGACACAACCGGTGGATACTTTGTGGCCTTGAACATCCCAAGATTAATTGCAGGCTGATAACAGCAGGATGTTTTTTTTTTTTTTTTACAACAAAACTCTGGAGTGCAGTTCTAAATGTATAATGTATAATGTAAACATGTTAATATATATATATATATATATATATATATATATATATATATATATATATATAGTGATTTTATAGACAGTTTACATTTTTATGTGTACACGTTTGAATCAATACATGATAAACATGAAATTAAATATATTTCCAGTTTCCTGAACCTTGTTTTGCCATCAGATTACTTAGTATAAGTTTTAAAATCCCTTAAATAAAAAAAATAAATAATTACAAATTGTGTTACTGTTTATTAATGGCAGCTAGGTGAGCAGATCCTTGTCCTCTGTAGGCTAGATCATCTAATTTCAAAATGTTCAGTTTGACCTGTGTGAACTTCGAAGGACTTACCTTTGAAGTTTGCATCCTTCAGAGGATGCAGCCTCTGAAATAAGACACCGCATAGGAAATGGTACATAATAGGAATTCCAGCATCTTGAAACAGTTTGTTGGTGTGTTACTATGGTCTACTCTGTGTTTGTAGCACCTCACATAGAAAATGTGTGGAGCATTTTGAAGCACAAAATGCGACAATGAACACCCTGTGCTATTGGCCACCTTAAGACTTGTTTACAGGAATAATGAGACAAAATTACACCATCAGTAACATTTCATCACCTGTTGTGTTTAGTCCCTAAATGTCTTTTAAGTGTTGTGAAAAAACTGGCAACATTAAAAAGTGGTAAATGCATTACTGTTCCAACTGTTTTTGAAAGGTGTTGCAAGAATCAAACATTAAAGTAAAATAAATTTAGCTGCCTGACACAAATCAAAAGCATTATTCCTCCTATTACATGGCTACTTGCCACAAAAGTAAACAATTAGCCACAAAACATTGATCTAAGCATTATTAAATGCATAACTCTTTAATTAAGCAAAGCTTTTCACGAATAAATGCATTCGAGTGATTCTGAGATCTACTTCCATTTATGCCATCTGTATTGTGATTGGCTGAATCATTTCCCTATTGTACTTGCACCGCATAATAATAATATTAAATAGGTTGGAACATGTTGCACTGTGCTGTTTAAGACGCTTGAGCTTCTGACCTGCTCATACATAACAGGCAACAATTTAAGCACGAACTGGGGATTTTGTCACAGATCTTGGAAATCTGTCTGCGATTACAAATCCATCCAAAAGCCATACAGGGTTTAACCGCATCTATCACATTGGGAATTAATGTCTAAATAATTACAACCAGCTCAACTACACTTATAAAACGTCCAATGCAGCAGCAATGACTTTATAATGCCAGCTCTACACCCCTGTTAACTCATGATGTAAGCAGCAGGACAGGCCTACAAGCTGCCTGACAGGAAACTGAGGATAATGGAATGCTTCCCCTTTATAGAATGTTCTTCAACACCATCCATGTGTCTGGAATGGAAAACTTTTTTTTTCCTTTTTCCCTGAGGGCTTTTACTTCAAAAACAGAAGCCAGACAGAGTATATTTTGGAAAATGTACCTAACAGACTGAATCTGTAATCCAGTCAGCTGATTTGGATCCAGTTCAGAAGCAACTAGCAGAATGAATGAGGCCTGAAGGCACATTGATGCCATTTGAGGAGAAGAGAGTCAGACAGAGATATTAATAAAAGGGTGTATCTGTATCTGATAAGGTTGCAACTGACACACAACATAATTGTTTTTCTTATAATTATTTACTTCAACAACTGAAGCATACTCTGAGCTTTAAGCAAGGTGGAATGCATACTAAAAGTGTGCCTGAACACATAATATAAACGAAAATATTAGATAAGATCCCAATATTAAAATATGAAATCATTTTTTATAGAAAAATCAAATCTAATAACCAATTAGAATTTGTTGCATGACTAAACCTAAATGTCTAAACTTCATCTCTCTGGCTATTTACATATTTTGTGGTGCTTTATGGGAGCCTGGGAGTTTTGGCAAGATTTGTTTGTTGTGATTCACTAATTAGTGGATATTTGTTTTCTTTGTTTTATTCACTTTCCTGAGGGGTATTGCACAAAAGCAGAATTAAGAAAGCCAGGACAGCAGAAAAAGCGTGAATTAACCTAGTTTAACCCTTGTTTGTTGGGGATGTTTTCATGCACTCTGGGGTGATTTTGAGGCTTAATTTGGCTTTTTCTGTTTCAGCAAATAAAAAATAAAAACTTGGTGGCAAATCTTATTTTGGCACATAACTTGGGAAAATGCTTTGGATTTTTTTATCTAACAATAAACTAATAATTAAAAAAAAAAATAATAATAATAATAAATTAAAAAACTAAAGATAAATAAATAAGCTCAAAATTTTGGAGCAAATGTACCACTCTTTCGTTATGCTGGTAGCATTTTTTTGTGTGCAAAATGTATGGAAAGGCCAAAATGCACACACATTTAAAAAAAAATTCATGCACATTTCAAAACACAAAACTGAGTAGGATAAACTTTTTATCTGATAAGAAAAGGTGCGCATATCCTTCAATGGAAATGCTTTTACTGAATAAATTCCATAAATTCTCAATAAAGTCCAGAATTAAATTCCAGTCCACATTAAAATTGTTGTGTTTTTGTTTTAAGATGTGTGATGATAAAAATAGCATTAATAAGCAAATTTTGTCTTCTGAGGTCCAATTAATTTATTATATAAGAAAAATATTCACGCAGCTTCTCTAACCTGAATTGAGTGAATTCCATTTGTCTTTGTCTTGTTGGCTGGAAAAGCAGCATTATTCACAAATATTTATGCAATATTCCAAATCTGTGCATACATTTTATTTGCATCTTTGGATTGAAACATAGCTATTGACTTTCATTATAATGGCATTTTTTTATTGCAAAGCAATGACACCAAAAATCATGAAGTCTTGATTGTTGGTGTTTTTATTATTATTATTATTATTATTATTATTATTATTATTATTATTATTATTATTATTTTGCTGTTGGAAAGAAGCCAAATTTGTCATTTTTACAGTTGATCATCCGTTGCAGTGCAAAAAAAAGTTTCTGGCATTTATTTAGAGTTTGAGAATTAAATTAATGAAAATGAATCAAAAGGAATAATGCTATAAATACTGTATGCCACTAAAAGTGGAAGAAAATGATCATATGATGCTTTTCTGCTTTCTTGACATTTTACACCACTCCATGTGTAACTTTTAGTGTTTTTAAAATGATTTTAAAAAAGTGTTTTATGCGTTTAACCGAACAAAGAAATACACATAGGTTTGGAACAATGTGAAGGTTACTTAAAAGAGATTGAAATGATCCCTTTAAGTAATAAGTATGTGTACACTGCAAAAATTGATTTGCTTACTTAGAGTTTTATCTTGTTTCTAATCCAAATATTTTAAAAATTCTTAAATCCAGAAACAATTTCTAGACAAGGAAAAATATTGACTTGTTTTCAGAAATACTAAATAAAATTAAGTTAAACAAGCAAAATAATCTACCAATAGTGTAAGCAAAATAATCGTATTTCAAAGTCAAAACAAGATTATTTTGTGGATGCCATTAGCAGATTATTTTGCTTGTTTTAAGAAAAGACTCACTTAATTTTGATGTATATCTTTTCTGAAAACAAGCCAATAGTTTCCTTGTTTAGAAAACGTATCTGAATTTAGGAATGTTTAGATTTTAAACTAGAAACTAGACAAAAAGTAAGTAAGAGAGCATTTTTTGCAGTGTGCTATATAAAAAAAGACATTTGGTGTTTATTCAAACTAGGCTTTTACCACATATCATAACGTACATAATATATTGAAAAACTTGGTGTTTTAATGCCCTTACTGCATGATGAATGCCCTATCTGCAAACTCAGGTGATCGGGGGTGAGGTGTGTTCCTTATTTATTATAAGGAACCCCCAAGAACCCAAAAAAAAACAAGGTAAAATATTTTTTTCTCCTAAAACAAAAATTCATGTCATAGAGGGTTAACACACAAACCCCCAGTTTGGCCAATGTTGATGTAATCTATTATTTAAAGAATAATAGGTTGAAACAACACATTTCTAACGTTTTATTTAAAGTACAATAGGTTTAAGCAACACACGTCTTACATTTTGGGGGGAGACAAGCTAATTGCTTTATTTTCAATCCACTTAAATTTGGGAAAAAGTAATAAGTTTACTTAATTCCTTCATGTTGGCCCAACAAAATTTGATTAAATGGAGCCCAGCATTTTTTTATTGTAATGTTTATAGTGCTGCTTGCCTTGGAAAATATCATGAACAATGCAAAGATATGAGTGTTACTCACAATATTCATGACAGAGAGCACATAGCTCACAACTCCTTTGCTTCCATGGTACTCCACCATTTTAGGATCAGCCACTACCAGAGTCTCTACCCACTTCTCAGTGCTTATCGAGCGCTGTCGAATCCGTTTGCGCTGCTGTCGACTCTCCCAGCGCTCCCTCTGCCTCTCAAACTGCTCGGCTCCTCCTACAGACAGCCAAAATGACATTGAATGATGAACTGAATGATGGGATATTCATCTAGAAAAACACAAAGACTATAGAATACACAAGACATGTCACTCGTATAGTTTTGAATAGGGAAAAGTGAACCATCAATGTGGCGAATGAATCCCCGCCTTCTAGTACAGGGGCAATATAGATTGACGATTCTCCAGGGCAGGGGTTTAGACCAGGCGCGAGTTTCTGCAGATTTTGTGTGATTCAGATATTTAGACATGAAACTAAAGACTTAGTTGTTGTTAAATTTTGATGCTGACTCCTATAAAAAAATTTAATTGTAAGCTTGGCAAGTAATTTTGAAGAATTTGATGTTTTCTCAAACAAAAACAATGCCTCATACAAAGATGGCCGTCGAGTAAAATGACTTGCCTTAAAGGGACTTTGAAAGACATTTGTCTGAAATCTAACCTTTGACCCCACAGGTGGCGTTTGCTGTGTGCTCTCCAAACAGCGGCTGCACCAGCTGGCGTTCAGACTGGACAGCGTGTCGTTTATAGATGGCATGAGCCTGTGTTGTGGACTCTTCTTGCTCCTGTTCCAGTGGACTAATGAAGAACTCCTCCTCTGAAAGCTTGAACAGCCCTGTCTACACAGAATAAAAGGTCAAAGTAAAAACATGACACAAAATTAAACCGCCACATCGTCACCGTCTCACTTCACCTCAGTTGTAATTAGAATGTGATATGGTCTGAAGTTCATTGAGAGTATTTGAATGTTAAAAATGAGTAAAATACATTTATTCAACGTGCTATTTCAGGACATTAATTTAAAAAGATTGTAGAAATAAAGACCTGAATCCATACTTGCTTTAACCACAAATGAGGTTCCTTGTGGTAAGCAAACAGACCTGTCACAATCACCAGCGATCATAACTTCATAGATCGCTGGATCTCTCTCCCCTGCTGAAAAATCTAGCCTAAACCAGCCTAGGCTGGGTGGCTGGTTTTAGCTGGTTGACCAGGCTTGTTTTAGAGGGGTTTTGGCCATTTCCAGGCTGGTTTCCAGCCATTTCCAGCCTGGTCTTAGCTGGTCAGGCTGGGAGATGGCCAGCTAAAACCAGCTTAACCAGCCTAGCCAAGCTGGAAGTCCAGCCAAAACCAGCTACATCCAGCTTAAACCATGCTGGTCAAGCTGGTTTTAGCTGGATTTGGCTGGTCATTTTCCAGCCTGACCAGCTAAGACCAGGCTGGAAATAGCTGGAAACCAGCCTGGAAATGGCCAAAACCCCTCTAAAAGGGGCTGGTTTAAGCTGGATTTTTCAGCAGGGTCACTATAACTCAAGGACTACAATTCCGCCATTTCTGGACTACATTTTCATACATGCACTCCGGCTACACTCACACATGCTTCCTCATCTAGACTGATTGCTCGCCCCACCTGAGGATTGTCAGAGACTGATTGCACACACTATTTAAGCAGCACACTCACTCACTCACTCCCATTGCCAAGTCTTGTTATCTGTATAGTAACACTACAATGCGGTTTCCTAGTCTTGTTTCCCGTGTTTTGACATTAGCCTAGTTTATCCTTTTGTCCTTGTTTGCCGCCTGCCTTCTGACCTCCTTGCCTGTTATTCGACTACGATTCTAGATTGTCTGCATATATCTGTTTACACCTGTATAGACCATTGCTTGCCTGACCACTGATTAAACCTGCATTTGGATCCTACTTCTGTTGTTTTTGTGCACTCCCCATGGTTACAAGGCCCATGGCAAGCCGTTTTGACATTTAATGGCCCGTTTCCACTGAGTGGTACGGTACGGTTCGGTTTGGTACGCTTTTATGGCCGTTTCCACAGTCAAAAGGCGTACCGAACCAAACTGTACTGTACCACTTTTTCGGGACCCTTTCGAAAGGGTCCCAAACTGCAGAAAGGGTCCCAAAAGGGAGAGCTACACGCGTAGCTGAACACTATTGGTTTACAGAGATACAAACAAACCCTGTCGTCGTCATGATAAACAGCCACAAAGCCATAGAGAAGAGCAGATTTACCCTGTGCCTGCGTAGTTTTTTACGAGCTAGTCTGAAGCCCGAGTGGTTTCGCTTTTTTTCGTTGCGCTCGCAGTGCGTCTCTATCTGAAATAAGAAACTTCTTGAGCTGATGATAATAACATGCACTTGATTATTGACAAGTTTTGGAAACCCGATCCTGTGAGAAGCTGACAAACGCGAGAGTGACACATTCAGAAAGAAAACGACAAACGCAAGAGTGGAGCGCGGAAAAAAAAAAGGCGAAGCCAAGGAGCACGTTATTTCTTCAGCAAACGTGAACAAACTGCCTTGTTTTAATCTTTATTATCACCTTTTGGACTTATATGAACTGGGAATGATGGAATGACTCTCTAACAGAGGCTTCATGTGCTGCTGAAGATTATAGACACAGATGAGAGGTTTGCTCTGACTGTAGGCTATACTTTGTGTTGTTTTGAACCTAATTAATGACGAAATGTCTGCTTTGTGTAGTTCTTCTGTAGTTGGTAACATATCGGAGACTGTAAGGGTCTGTATGTGTTCATATATGTTCATTTATTTATTTATTTAATATAATTACAGACGTTACAGTAGGCTATTTCGCACCGTCATTGATCTGCAGTTATAATCAACTTATAATCAAGTTAGTAATAAACATTTATACACAAGTATTTATGTGTGTAAAGCATCTGTTTTGTGAGAAGTGCTTTTCATATGATATGTGAATGACCTGTGCAGCTTTATTGTAGACATTTTCTAGAGCGAAAATGAAGTCGACTGAAACTTTGTCATACACCACGCCCACAAAAAGGGTACCCTTGGTAGTGGAAACGCAACCCTGATAAAGGTGACCCGTACTGACCCGAAACGTACCGTACTGTACCAGTCAGTGGAAACAAGCCATAACCTATAACCCATACTAGTGCTTATTTTTTTACATACTAGTATATTATCCATTAAGTATTAGTGCTTATTCATTAGATACTTCTGCTTATTTATTAGATACTACTGCTTATTCATGCTTATTCATTAGATACTAGTCCTTATTCATGTGATACTAGTGCCTATTCTTTAGATACTAGTGCTTTTTCACAAGACACTAGTTCATTAGACACTAGTTATTTTATAGTCCTCATTCATTACATAGTACATATTAAATAGAAACTAGTATCAATTTAATAGGTACTATTACTTATTCATTGGGTACTAGTACTTATATAGATACACTCAAAAAAATCAACTATTCATGTATTGGATTTACAAAATAAAAATTTGTCAGATTGAAAAGAACAAATCAAGTTTACGTATGTTAAATGATTAATTCATGTTATTTGAAACAGAATCAAGAAATAATCAAATTAATTTGATCAGAACATGTTGATTCAATGAGACTGAGACGCTTCAAATCGACAACTCTCACTCTGGAGAGTCACTTCGCGCATATCAGTAGGTGGCGGTAGTGCGTTTGGATATCACCATACGAAAACAACAAGAAGAAGTGTGTTTTCGGCACAGTTTGGGAATTGGTTTTCCCAAGAGCTTGAATGTTATGCATGTTATGTTGTTGGCTATATGTTTCCTATACATTTTATACTTTTACATTTTGAATAGGAGTACCAAAGTGAAGAAAGTTGTTTAAACTCAATTGGTAAAAAAAATTATGTTAACGTCCTACAGGTATTACTTGGAGATCAGTTTTCCTAAGAGCCAAGGTTATTTTGTTGGCTAAATGTTTCTTATACATTTTATATTACATATTACAATTTTGGATATTATATAACATTTTGTATCAGAATATTAAAGAAGAAATTTGTTTAAATGTGATTGGTGCCTGCTAAAGGCTATAATAAAAGAAATATATATATATATATATATATATATATATATATATATATATATATATATATATATATATATATATATATATATATATATATATATATCAATGAGTCAATTAGTTGCAAAGAAGTTAGACTGACATATTGAAACCATGTTTTATCTACAAATGTGCTTTGTGTTCATACAACATGTTCAAAGCAGTTCAGGTTTACTTGATTGGATTAGATGCATAAAGGGTGCCACGATTAAATCATGTTCATTCAACATTTTTTTTTTTTTTTGAGTGTACTAGCTTTTTATTAGATAATTTTACTCATTTTAAAAGTGACTAGTAACTATTCTGTTGTTACAAGTAACAAATTACATACTTCCATTGATTTCTATTCGAACTGTCATTAAGATAACTATTCAGTTTTGACTTTGTGACTTTGAGTATGTATTCCAGCTGGGACTAGAACATATGTATTATGTACTAGTAGTTAATCATTAGGTTCTAGTATCTATTTAATTAGATACTAGTACCTAACTAATATATACCAGTACTTATGTTTTAAATACTATAGTATTAACTATTAAATAGCTAATAGTATCTAATGAATAATTACTAGTAATCAATAAGTACTTATTGATTACTAGTAATTATTCATTAGATACTAGTAGCTATTTAATAGTTATAGTGCTTATTAGATACTAGTACTTATGAAATAGATACTACAACTTATTTAAAATATACTAGTACACATTTATTATTCTAGTACTTGTGTAAAATGTTACTAGTAAAAATTATTTTACTAGTGAAATGTTTAATTGAACTCTACTTTTCCATTTAGACTAGTTATAACATAAGACCGGTAAAAAAGCAGTTAAAAAATGTAACTAGTAGTTATAAAAGATACTCGTGTCTAATAAATAAATAAATACTAGTACTAAAAAATAACTATTGTCCATTTAATAGTAAATAATATCTAATGATTTGGTACCAGTATCTATTTAATAAGTACTAGTATTTATAAATGAATACTTGTATGTAATGAATAAGTAATGTCTAATACATAAGTGCTAGTATCTATTAGTTACCAGTAACTAATTAACAGATACAAGTACCTGATGTACCCCATAAAAATATGTATTAGCCCCAGCTGGAATACATACTCTAGTCAAAACTGAATAGTTGATATCTCAATGACAGATCCCATAGAAATCAATATAATTAAAAAAAATAATGCTCTCTACTAAATTTTATATATTATGTATAGGCATTACAGGCTAGGCTCATACTAGACTGGGTACATAAATCTGAAGATGCTCTGGGAAGATACTGAATAAGAGTTTTGTAACCCAGTTTCTCTGATCAACTTACTTGACCAGAAAACCCAAATTCCTGGCAAAAAAGAAAACCTACTTATTTTTAGAGCCATCAAAACACAGTCAGAGATCAAAAGATCTTCTAAGTTCAATCAGAACCTGCCTATTTTATCCACACTGACCAGTAATACAAATGTTTACCATATTTATATGGGTTCTTAGTTTGGTTGCTGGATTAATTTAGGAATATACAGGATATATGATCTCTTCCATAAGGATATTTTATGTTAATTGAGGAGTTACATTTAAAGTGTAATATCCCTAAAAAAAATATTTCTTTAAACATTTACATCCCCTTGTGTGCGTGGATTTCTTTCTGGTACTCTGCTTACCAGTACAGTCCAAAGACATGCGATATAGGTGAATTGGGTAAGTTAAATTGTCAGTAGTGTATGTGTGTGAATGAGTGTG